ACCCTAACTGTGTTAAAGCCACGTGATTTAACAAAGGCGAGCAGTAGCCAATCACAAGGGTGCTTTCCCAGAGATTTAAATCGATCCAGATAGTAAGATTTAGATCGACCTAACTCCCTGGGGGTTCAAGCTAAATTGCAGTCAGCCGAGCGGGCACCATAGTTAATTACCCCCTTACAGCTTTTAGTAGGCGGGACAGACGCTTTTGCCGGCCAAGCTGACAGTAATCTAGTGAGACTCCCCACAGGGATAGGTCGATCTAAAAATCTATGGAATTGGGGTGACAGAATACCTAACCATAACATGTGAGATGGGCACAGACGCGGATTTTTCTTGTGCACGTATGTGTGCATCTTTTTCAGGAATTTGTTCACAGTCGGTGTAGTGTTATTTATGTCGTTTTGTTTGACGAATGAAACGGATGACCACGAGTAAGGTAAAGATCCCTTTTTTATCATGCAGAAAGCTGTTAAAACGCTAGTTTGAAATTGTTCTCGGGTTTTTTTATCGGCAAGAAGAGGGGCACTGTTCAAAATATTCTTTAAAAAATTATTTTCGTCCAATATGTCTACATAATATGAAAAAAATATATATATTACTAAAGAATTGAGGGACTGCAGTTAGGAAAAAGTTAGGCTTCACAGGCTGTAAACATATACATACGCAGATAAAGAACACTGGATGTGGTCGTATCCGCCATCTTGAAAATAAAGTTGTAGGATTCTGGCAAATTTGTAAGTTTTTGGAATAATTGTGAGAGTGACATGATGTATCGAGTATACATACAGAAAACATATTACTTCTGCAATACTTTTGGGTGAAAAGTTTGTCAAAATATTTTTAAAATGGCGATAAATAGCCGTGACATGAGACGCGTTCAGTGACATCCGAGTTTGATGTCAGCACACGCTATTAACACAACGTTCGGGGTTTTTCAGTTAACGGATATTTGTATGGTTAAAACATGTTAATGTTAGCTTTTATTTACACCCAAATATATGTAGCGTGCATTGGGCTATGCTGTTCAGATTGTCACGCAGCTGTTTTAACAAACGAACCAGACTTATATTGAACTTTGTAAATTCGGACATTGGTCACGTGGTTTAGACCCAAATTTATGCCCATTTGAATTTGCACGTTTTGAGTATTTTTAAGGGAAAATGACGAATTGACAGCTTGTTTTTCGTGAAAGACTAGTCTGAAAGGGTGCACTGGTGTACAAATGAACTTCAGTGTAACAGCTGGTCTCTGTTTTTTTTACTCCTCTATCGTGGCACTTTTTAGCTCACCAGCCTCGTTGTGGGAATGGAATATAACAGGCGTGTGTGTTTAGACAGTTTTGAATTTGTTTTTATATTTTCAAAGGGAATGTCAGTTGGAAATAACAATTTGGATTTTTTTCTAGCCAGGTCTGAATTTGCTTCTTTCTTATAGAAAGTTTTATATGACCAGGGCTGTGCCGGTTCTATTAAATCAGCACTTCCTTTGTATACATCTATGTCACGAAGACCTTGTTATATTTACCACTTTGTTATTGGGCACAAGCATTCTTTCGTTACAATTGTTGATGATATCCTACTCTGTAATTAGAACTGATTAGATGCACACCTTATCATGGTTGCAATTTCTCTGGGCGATCCTTGCTATGTCTAAAACACTATACCTGTGATTTAATTGTCTGACTGTTTTTATACCTGTAAAATTTACCTGGTCAGGTAAAATGGCATGTCCAGACAGGGGACATTATAAGCTATCTGAAACATAGGCTGTGATACTTGTAGAAAATTGTCTCGTTAAATTTTCGAATGATCATGCACACAATGGGAAAATGTACAGTTATTATCTTTACTCTTTTCAGGTCTGTTGTGGCGAATGAACATGGGGAGAAGAAAAGGTCACCGTCTTCTGTTGCTACTCCAGGCAGACAGAGGTTGCTGCTATCACAAAGAGATACGGCATAGAATTTTAAATTGAAATAAACTAATTAAATCCATCCATTGCAACTTAGACTGCTTTCTGACATTTAATCCTTATTATACAGTTGAAATCTCCATCAAAATCCTATAATACTGCTACATGTACAAGCAAATAAATAAGGTACAGGAATCAAATAATATCCATAATACAGGGGCTGATCCAGATATATTTTCTGACAGTCTTCCAAATTATCTTTGCATCCATCCTCCATTTTTAACATCTTACGACAAAAAATAATTTATCGTCAATGGAAACTTGAAAATCTGACCGTCTTCCGAAAAACCCAGAAGACTGCCTCAATCTGCCCCTGATAATACACAGACAATTTAAAGGTATATGACATTAAGATAAAAAAATGGTATGCTTCCTACTAAATAATAACAACACATTTTTGATCACAGAAAAAATGTCCTGTGTGCGCACTTTTCATTTTGTGTCAACACTATTCATGATAATAAATATCCATGAAGAGGTACGTCTGTTAAATATGATATGTAAAGAAGTCAAATTTCACGGCCTAACAGTCTTCATCGTGCAAGAGAACGGCCTTACTAGTACTTGCCCAATGACATTTACTCTCTACTGACATGCTTTTTAAGAAAATCATGTGAACTGCATTGCTTTTTTTTTATTATTTTGCATACTTATCACAAACAAATAAGTTTTCACTTGTATTGACAACAAAACTAATTATAAGCATTGATTGTATTTTAACTTCTGATCAAAATAAAAACAACTTGTAATTTCTACTTTGTGCATATTTTCAATTTCTTCTATATATACTATAAGCACGAAAGTAACCTGCGCTGTTATCCACTACCTGAGAGGGAGCATTACTGGCCTGAGAGGGCACCTAATAGGCCTGAGAGGACATTGTTGTTTATACGAAGGTAAACCAAATAATTTCGTTAGGTCGTCGTTGTGGAAAACTCGGCTTTTACATAGTAAGTTCATTGAAAAATCTGTATCAAAGATCATAATGTGTGTAATGTGGTCTCTGTCATCCAAATTTTGAATTAACTTGTCGATAACATAGGAGTATTAGTGTTTTTTCTGAGGTTTTCGCCGAGGAGCTGGAGGCTCTCGCAGTTTCCGTATACCAGCATCACGGGCTGAGTTATGGGTTGTTCTCGCGTATTCTCGCTAGTTAACGGACTACTGGCAGTACTCTGTGGGTTTCCACAGGTGACCCCCCGTCGCTTTGACCTGTCACTCATACACTTTGTCCCGCCCCTTAACAGAGATAGGACAATAGACCGCCACCCGTTTCCATTCCCTCCGATATAATATTCCTTGCTTGCAATAAGGTCAATAGCTTCGATCAGTGCGTAGGGGCCTATGTCGAACAGCTCCCTTGCATGCTGCCGAACTGCCTAAGGTCAATCTTATTGGTCACAATGTCCCAAATCCATTTAACAATAAAACCCTCCAATAACTTAGAAAGCACCGGGGTTAGATATATATATGGGTCTAATATCTGTCTCTATGGTCTTTGGAAGAATGCACTTAGGTAGTGGTGACACATATGCATGTTTCCAGAGTGGTGGGACATATCCTTCACGAACTGATGAGTTGAATATAGCACATACTGGGGCAGCTAGGTACCCTGCTAGGTCATGTAGGATCCAGTTGGGAATTTCGTCGGGACCTGTGGACTTGTGTACGTTTACTTGGAGCAAGGCTTTTTCGACATCTTGCTTTGTGATGATATATGTGGCTGGTACAGGGTCTGCTGCTTCCACGTGTTTCGGTTCAAGTGGCACAAAGTCATTTGTGACAGATTGTAAGAAAGTGTTTATTTTCTGGGCTAATAAGCTGAAATCACCATTGCACTCACTGTTAGCCAAGCCCAGTAAAGAATTGTTTTGTGTTGTTTGCCCTGTAAGCAACTTAATGTTTTTCAACCACTGCCTTGATGTACCGTCAGACATGTCTTTCGGTTTCCCTTCATAGAAGCTTTTCCGCAAAGTTTTGGAAAGTCTGTTTACTCTGTTTCTGTAATGTTTGTAGAGGTAAGTCTGATGTCCCATCCAAGCACGTTGTCTCTTCTTAATTAAGTCCCAAAACTGATCTTTGACCCATGGCTTTTCATTGTTCATCTTTTGCACTGACTTTATTGGTAGGTGCTCATTTAGCAGACTAGTAATAGTCGACTGGAAGAAAGTAAACCGTCATTCACATGTTACCATACTGAAGAGTGGCCGCTAGTCAACTTTACTTAGAACTTCAGCAAAAAATGCTTTCTCATTCTTTCCAGATGTTCTCTTTTCAATTCGGATTTTTTCTGGTTGAACGAAGCCGCCTCCCATGGATGGTAAGCAAAGCACAGTATTGTGGTCTGAGCTTCCAAGTGGACATAAAATTTGTGGTTCGCTGAACAAATTTCCCATGTTGGTGTATATTTTATCCAAAATTGCGTTTTTCTGTGTGCCTTTATTTACAGTCTGTTTGAGATTATAACTGTTTTTAAACTGAGAGTCCTTCAGTGTGTTAAAGTCACCGGTCAGGATGATGCCTGCATTGGGATGCTTGCCTAGTATTTGATCAAGGCTCGCAAATATATGATTCACTGTAGTTTTGTTTTCCTTTCCAGGCGGGTGATATAAACCCCTACAGCTATGCAGCTAAACTGTCGAGGTAATTTTTTTTGGCCTGATTGTTACCCATGTAGATTCAGTATAACCATCTCTCAATGAATGTCACACTTTACAAGGTACCGATTCCTTACACGCATTTTTGAAAATGTAAAACAGGACTGGTTTGTAGTTGCCTCCATTTTGGAAAACACACTGGACAACATTGCTTAAGCAAGCCAGTAACAGGTACATATTCATTTTATTCACATGTGCTAAAATAAAAACAGCTAGTATGTTTTCCATTCTGTTGTATGGCCATAAGGAACAATGTGTTTCCACTCAACTCAACGTAGATGTTTACAAAAGATATTTACTTTCATAAATGAAGCAAAATATTCATAAAACTTCAGGCATTATACTAAAATTCTTTTCTTTTTTTCTGAGTAGGTCTGATAATGCAGGGTGCTATCACTGTGCACATTTATGGCTGGCAATTCCTGGAATATCTGAAAGACCTGGTAAGTAAATTGTGTTTAATTATATTTCATTTTTTTTACATATTTTGGGATTTCAGTTTCTTGACAAGGATCAAATTTATAATAGACATCTGAGTTACACTCTATGCAGGACACATGCTTTTGATGTATCCTTTTGTAAAAAGCTTTTAATATATAATTTTGTAAAATGCAATGTGTTGTTTTATCAATGAAAATGAATACATTGTTTTTCAAATTTAAATGATTATTTATGTTTTACAGGAATTTTCATAAAAAACTACTGCTTTTCTGAGGCACAGAGAGGAAAAAGTGTATGTGACTATAAGATTGCACACATGCGTACAAAGATGAAATCATATGTGGGTGCTGGAAATGACATCCTTACTGCTATTGATATGAAAAGAGCCATTGATCATGGAAAAGGTAATTTAAAAACAATACCCTTCAAGCGCCGAATGTATGCTGGTATGAAACACTGGACTTCATGATAAAGAGTTTAATTTCATATAATATGTAGTTTCTCTGTGCCAATTTAGTAAGTGTGTATATGTATATGTTAATGTGTTTATGTTCATATTTGTGGATGTCAGGATGTTTTATTTTCTGGAATTGAGGACTTAAGCATTTTACCCTTGTTTAGATATTAATTTGACTTTTTCTGTATTACAGATGTTGTAGGTTGTCAAGCGGCAGTTGGGGACATTGACACCAGCAAGCAGAATCATTTCAGGCATAAAGTAAAGCATGTGTCAATGATCAGTGAGATTGAGTTCCATGGAGGGGGATTGTGTATGAAAAGCGCCTACTGCATAGCTCCAGGCCAAAGTATATCACCAGCTGAACTTCAGCAAGCTTGGGATGATGGAGTACACCAGAGTGGGTACAGTGCCGTCATTGACTTCACTGTACCCTCTATGGGAGAAGGAAAAATCAGATATGATGCCCAGAAGGAAACACCACAATAGTCAACCAATTTGCTGTGTTCTGAGGATGGGTGCACAGCTGTTTTTGTTTTTTGTAATTTCAAGGAACTGGAGGACCATCAGCTGTTTGGAGTACACCAGAGAAGCACTTCTACCTACATAAAAACATAAAACATAAAACTTCAGTGGGGGAAATATTGTAATGGTGTCATAAGTAAATGTAGCTCTAAAAGTGCTCATCAGGTGCACTCTACAAACAAAAAAGATTCTGAGAGAAGCACATTAGGTCATATTAATCAGGGATGGGCTCTTAAGACAGTGAAATGCAGACCTAGATTTCCACAACATGTAAGACAGTATTTAACCAATAAGTTTCAGGTTGGCCAGTGCTGTGGCAGAAAGTTCACTCCCCAGGAAGTAGAAAGTGAGATGAGGGGATTAAAGGATGAAGCTGGTTTGTCCCTATTTTCACCTAGGGACTGTCTTTTGGCTTCCCAAATAGCTTCGTTTTTCTCCAGGATGTCAGGAAATCCACAGCTACTTTTAGATATCAAACAGGAAGAAGACCTAATTGCTCTCACTGTAGAGTTAGAAGAGAAGAATGTACTAAATAGGCCTACTCTTCAGTAAAACTCGTTTAGTATACAACGCACATGTCCTTCACAAATACATAATTACTTTAATTTTTGATAGACAGAAACAAGCACCTGATTGCACTGGCCTGTAGGTAAAGAGCAATTTGTACATGTCTTTATACTATATTGGTATAACATTTGAAGCCACTGAGGCACACATGTCGATTACATAATTATTGTTATGTATTAATATGTGACTACTGTAACATAACATAAAGTTATTTTGATTTGAAACAAAGAACTGAAACTGTTGTGATTTTCTGAGCATATTGTAACGTGACCGGGTCGCACCCCGATCCTTTCTGTAATTTGATGAAGTTTATTTCTAGTTAACGTTGTTTTGCCTGAAATGCTATTACCGCACTGCGGTGACTTAACAGCTGAACATGGGAGCCGCCATTGTGTTACGTCATACAGCCTTGGCATAGTTGGCGAGACCTCTTGACCTCAGAATGTAAACAAAAAACAATGGGGACGGAACCTAGACGTAAATGATGCGCACGTACAACGTACGTAAACGTTTATCGTGGATAAAGAAAAACACAAGGAGAGCATTGGGATGGACCGTGGAAGCGTTGTAGTCGGGGTTGAAGAGGAGGAGAAGAGTAGACATGCGGAGAGGAACGGGAGAGCGGAAACGTGAGTTACATTGGTCTAGCTTCCGGGTCGCAACTCCAGTAATGCGTAAGCGTAACTGGGAAAACTCTTTAGTTTTGTTATTTTTGAGTTTCTTTGGTTTTGTTTGCGTTCTAAGCCGGGCATGGGGAAATTCTTACCGATCTTGACGATCCAATGCATGAGGAGGTGTAGGGGAAAAATTCCTGACAGTCGGATACTGCAGGTGGAAATCCTGAGAGTCGGCCACTCCAGGTGGGAAAATTCCTATTCTTCAAGCCTGTTCGTGCGAAATGAAGCCATGCGCCGTAGATAAGAAGACTGGACACCTTCGTGTAACTTTTTGTTGAGTTATTTGAGTTATCTTACTTTTGGTTGATTACTTAATTGTTCAGCGTCCGGGCATGCGGCAGCTGCAGGTGGGGATGCCTGAGATTACTACAGGGGATACATAGCCCATTCTCCTGGACTGTTCCTGTGTAACGAAGCATTGTGCCTCGACAGAAGACTGGACCCATTCAGTAGCGTTTCCGTTATTATTATTAAAGTTATTTGAGATTTAGTTCGACGTTATTATTCTGTTCTGGACTCCAAGAGAAACTGTGAACTCTGTGCGAACGTAACATGTAATTTTGAATGACTTTAAATGCGTACGAGTTACTCAAATGTCTTTAGCTTTGCGTATGAGCTTTTCATTGTTTATGCATAAATATGGAAAATTTGCAATTTAGTTACTGCCATTTTGGATTGAGCATTTTAATAAGTAATTAATTTTATATAATTGCCCTCGAAAAGATTTTTTTTTTATAATGAAAGACCAGTAAACCTCCTCTCTAATATCATGTATGACAACATTCATTGATGTTGGCCAGTCTAATAAATATAGAAATTTTGCAATTTGGTTGGTGCCATCTTGAATTAAGGTTCTTAAAAGTTGTATAATTAATTGAAAATTGTGTTTGACAAAAGAATTATTTTTGATTATAAAAATACAAGATATTTACTTTCTTATGTTATATGTGAAATTAATAGGTGGCTTTGGAAAGTCTATGAAAAATGTATTTAAAGATGGCCAAACTTGGGCATTTTATCTAAATTTTGAAATTATGAAAATTCATCACGTTTAAAGTTATTTTTTTAATTTTTAAAAGCCTGCAAAAATAATATTTTATATGTTTTTCACTTAATCAAGATTTGGGATTTAGCAACATACAAATATAAAATGTGTTTAACCATGTTTGTTATTCTTTATACACACAAATATGTAAAATGAGCAATTAGGTTTCCGCCATCTTGAATTAAGAATTTAAAAAATTGAATAATTTTTTGAAAAATGTGTTTGAAAAAAATATTTTTTTGATTATAAAAGGACAGTACTTGTACTTTCCTATGTAATGTATGATGATAATAGATGGCTTTGGCCAATCTATGAAAAATGTATTTGAAATTTGCAAAATTGGGCATTTTAGCAAAAATATGAATTTTTGAAAATTCCCCATTTTTAAAGTTTATTTTTATAGACCAACAAATACACTAAGTTATAAGTTTTTAGTTCATTTAAGATATGAAATTTAATAATATCTTAAAATGAAAAATGTATTTTTATCCACATTTATGGTTTTTTAGCTCAAATATACATGTAGCTGAAATTAAAAATTTGCAATCTGGATTTCGCCATCTTGGGTGAAAAAATTAAAATGCTATTACCATGGCAACTGAGGGTGATTCAAACAAACCAATGTCAATTATGTTGGTTTGGGGCTATAATGAACAAATACACCAATTTTCATCAAAATCTGAGAGGGTCATGTGCCACCCTATTCTGAACCTTACTGAGACAGGTACTTAATTGTTATCTGCAATTAGTGAAAGTGTAAGTCATTTGCTTTACAACATACAGTCCTTCTTCAAATGAATTCGTCCTCGAATTCTACAACTTTACAACATACGCTCCTTTTTTCATTTTTTTTTTTACAGCAAAGCATATACTAAATAACATTAAATACGTAAATTTTCAACAAGCTTAAATGACAAGGTTACAGGTCTGTCATCAATTTAAATGCAAAATCAAATAAAGTAATAGTAAAAAATAATGATAATCTTCCTTAAACACTCTATTTCTATCATAAAGTCATGCAAAAATATAATTAAATAAAATAATTGTATATAATTAACTTACACAAAAAACTAGAAACACATTCCACATGAAATCAAAAATATAACTTGAAGGAAGATAAATTAATAACTTTTAAGGAAAATACAATTGTTCGTGAATATATTTCATACTGGCATTTACACCGTTTAATGTGTGGCCCAAGAGCACAGATACTTTTTGTTTGTTTTCTCATGCGGATATTTAAACCCGTTGCTCTCTTATTATGGCTCTGATACATTGTATTATTCTCTTTTATTGGTTGTCTTTTAGATATAGTAGGAATGCATTAAGTGAGACAATCGGGCGGTACCCTCCCTGTCTAATGAGCAGCATTCACAACGTTGCGACCAGCGCATCGTTCATCTTCATATCGTTCATCTTCATCTTCATATTTGTCCACACTCTAGCTCTCCTCTGTGATGACTATAAGAGAAACACTTTGTTCATATCAAATTCAATTCACATATTATACTGCTAAATAAGTAAGTCGCAAAACGTGAGAATCTTCCATAATGCATATCATTAGTTTCACGTCATCATCACTACAAAAGTTAACTACATTGTCCATATAGCAATAACCATCTGGTCAAATGTCGATAACTAATAATAATGATCATGGTTAACACACAATAAAATGATTATCATTATATATCATAGGACATAGTGACTAAAAAAATCAAAATATTCGTCAGGACTTAAGTGTCATGTTAATTCCGTGCATCTCGCACACTCTCAATAATAATATAATAGTGATACATAGGTCAGTGTCTGAAATCATTGAAGTAACAATAAGGAAGAATGAATCATAAAGTTATTAAAATGGTATGATAGTACACACACTTCTTATACCAAAAGTTTACTCGCAAAGATCAATGCACTATGTTAATTATAGACACATGTAGCAAGTCAAGTCAAATTCAGATTGGATTAAAATTAATCTGCATCGTGATCAAATGGTTCGAACTGAATACAGAAAAGTGCAGAAGCATGTTTCAAGCGCAAAAATGTACAATATTCGACCTTGAATAATTTTCTGGGTTTAAAAGCTGTGAAAAGTGACAATGGGATAACTTGTTCCAAAATAATGATTTCGTTTATCGTAATGTTTATAGTTGTCAAGCCATGCCAATATTTTGACAGATGTAGTCTGTAGATACGAAAACTTAAATGAACTTGTCGAAATTATTATAGTTATTACTTCACTTTGTAATATTAATGAATCTGTGGTTCTAAGTTCCTTCGGCTTATTAATTGATGATGTTGCGAAATTTTATAATCACTACGGTATAGTAAGCACTATATTGTTTACGTGTACTTCTTTTTTAGTAAAGCCACTACTAATGCCAATTGCCTGACCTTGATACATACATGTAGACCAACTTTCATCATGAGCAATAAGCTCTATATCACGACTAAATTCAAAATAATATTTGAGATTAATCATCTGTAGAAAATATTTCGTTCGCTAGAATAGCATCTGCCATACAAGTATATGTTTGCTCTTAATTGTCTCTTTGCTGTTTAAGCCACATTTTGTAATATCAAATAATCACTAACATTATTGGCAAGAACATGAGAAAAAAATCGTTGAAATAGCTGAAGAACAGTTGATTCCATACTTTAGGGTTTATTTTTCGGTTAACCTTTTAAGCAGTATTTATCGTGTCCACAATCTTCTGTTGACCAATAAATGTCTCATTTTTAAATCTTGTTTAAAGAAATAAAATGATTTTTATGATATCATAGTATTTGTTTTTTTAGTTTCTACGTTTTTTTCTTCTTCCTTGTAAAGTCTTATTGATATGATCATCTCTTTTTAATGCATCTGAAATATTTTCTTCAGGCTCCAGGTAGG